GCCTGCCCCTTGGGTTCTAGCAACTGCAGTTGCCATTCACTGCGTGCGTTTGGCATGCAAAGATCTGTTGTAAAACCAACCGACACTGGTTGTGCACAGATCCTGGATGACGTGGCTATGTAAACGTTTGATCAGTTCGCCTATCCTGGTAGCTACATCCAAGGGAACGGATCGGTAATCACTGAAGTAGACGCATATAATGTGGTTAAAACCGTCCGCACGAGTTGACAAACGGACGTACTTATTCATTTAGAATCCCTGTTTCCAGGACCACAGTGATGGCCGCTCTGCTCTGGGACAGCTAGGAGTGCCAGCTTCTCTAACTGGAAACCTCAAGCACCTTCATGCACCCAGTCATCGTTGCTTACTGAGCATCATTCACTTTTGGTGTTACCTGCAATGGTTAATTCCGTTCGTTAGAACAACAGCTGGTAGTGATCGGGTTGTGTCCGTTTGCGGATCTACCACACATGATGATCAAACGCTTGTTGAGGACGGTCTAGCGTAAGGTGTGTAAAGTACATACTGGTAACGGGAAATAAAGTAGCCGACCAATGGCTTGGTAGCTCTTGATCCAACTTGCCACCCGGTCTGCAATATACACGACCAACTCCACTGGTGGTGGTTGGAGACACTACGAAAAGTGAACTAATGTCGGCACCAGTGGCATGCGTAGCGTCTAGTTATCTGCGAGGGAATGTAGAGTACATCCCAGGGCTGCCGGCAAGGTACTGATGCACTGCTCCCGAAAGTTCGCCTAAATCATTTAGGGCGCATCTCACGTTCATCCCTCACCTATCCACTAATTCCTCATCAACAGGGTAATCATGTCTGTGTGTTGGCGGTGCACCAGTGCAAATGACTGATGTGCAGATGTTAATGAGGATGAAGACCGTGAGTCTACCTAACCTGCACCACGGTCCGGTAAAGCAGTTAGTTTAAATCACGTGCACTGAGAACTGAGAGTTCACGTACCAAGTTCAGCTAGCGGTAGATGTTACATGATCACTGCTATTTTATCTACTCGGTGAAACCAACCCAACATTTCCAACCATAGGTGAAGGCTAGCAAGAAAACGCGACACATATACATCCTACCTCTCACTCACTCGACAACATAATTAATACTGTGCTGGGTCGAATCAACCTGACAATACGCACCTTCTTCAAATGCATTCTGAAACGTGAAACCAACCGAAACGCTTCATCTCTCTTACGTCAACATCACCTATTCCGTCACGCGACCATGCAAACTCTAAATCTCTACATGCATTTGAAAGCAAGAGGGATATCCACCAAGCGACTATCACTTCACTGCTATTCTGTAACGTACAACACATCATGACCGACCGGTATAACGTGACACCAAGTTTTAGAGACTTTTAGCCACCTTGTGCTGCATACACCATCTAATTAATGGGCTAGCGCAGCTGGAGCTTTGAAGACTTATATAGAGTTGCATTAAAATATTAAACCTAATGTCATCCTTCGGTTTTCTTAAGTTCACTTACTCCAAATATGCGGTTCTCGCAGCTCATGAATAACCTGTTCAGTGCTGCTTTTGTCTGTTATGCCCGAATGTCTATTACTCGTCTGGTTTTATTTTAATGGCTCCAAATGTTACGACCCGTTTCGTGTTTCTTCCACTTTTACGAACCCATTATCATCATGCCCCCTCCCCGGTCTGCACCGCATTCAAATGACTGAGAATGCTCGTAAACCGATAGGAAGCCGAAAATGAAAATATTCGCATGCGCGAGCATGTCGCATCTGTAAATGAGGTTTGTCGGTGCCACAGTAAAACAACCGAAGTGGACCAACTCTATAACCTGACTACCTCTCGAATTTGATTGTATTATTTTTTCATTATTTGAACATTCACTATGGATCCAGATCTCTGTACGTTGACCACCTCTGTATGTTGACCAATTTGGTCCAGTCCCTTGAGTGATCAAGTTATGTCGGTTTTACCGTATATCCGCTTCACATCACGAGGACAGTAGCCAGTTTGTCAACGATCTTAAAACACACAGGAAGACCCGTATCAGCGGTTTTAGAACCCAGTGCTATCGTGGTATACAGTGGGCGCTGCCTTGAGCGAATACGTTTAGCCAGTTATGATTGGGACACAGACAATCCATGGATCCACAACCTGACCCGCGCCGGTGCCGTTGAGCCACGTTAGGGTCGGGAGGGTGTCACAGTGAGGTACATTTCAAAAAATGCCAATCAATTTGAAATAAATGAGAATCTCCGTAGCTCGGGGTATGGATGCAAATTTTGCACTGTTCTCCGAGCGGAGTGATTAATGTGCAGACGTTTCGTTGCCTGACAAAGCAACATCATCAGTGCCGCTTCAGGGGCCTGGTTCGCAGTGCCTCGTAAGCAACTTCAATGTCCAACTGCTTATTGATCGAGTTCCGCTTTGAATGACAAGCTTCAATGACCTCACGTGCTTGCCGGCTTTTAGCCCTTTGGAGGATGCTAGCATGCTTTCCAGGTCGAATTGATGCTTCTCGGCATCCATATGCATTGACATCAGGGAGTTCTGATCGTGGCGATGAATGGCTAAGTTGTCTTCGAGCTAATCAATTATCCTAACCAATCACATTGCTTATATGGTTCTATCCAGGTGTGTGAATTAACGACTTAAAGCACGTGACGTGGTAAGTAGTCACGTTCCCGAGGCCGAGGCCCCCATTGAGTCACTTCAGCTCTGTGATGATGTACCGACGAAGGAAATGCGTTTGGAATGGTTACGTACACTTTGCTTGGGTACTTTAGGTTATCTTGTGATACATCTTGATCCTACTGTCTTGTAACAGCGGTGACTGCTCGCAATGAACCAAAAAGGCTGTTTGTGTGTTCCGAAATGTTAATTCTGGATCCCGAGGGTACAATCTAGCAATAGATGGCAATAACCGCAAATCGCTATCCAGTGATTCAAGTGGAGACGCGCACCTATACTAAAAGTAAAGTCGAACGATCATGTACCGAAAGATGTGGGCCAAGATAAAAGCAACTGGTGTACGAATTACTTTCATAAAAACACAGCTCTCGCATGAGGTAGCCGATATAGATAGCACTAGCGAATGGTCTTCCCAACAGCGTCTTTTAACCGTTTGCTCAGGTTATCAGCCTCAATGTCAGCTTGGAATGTTAAGTGCACCATTGTACTCGGCAAATAGAAACACATGCTGTGAAGCTTTTGAAGGCTTTTCACAACGCACATCAAAATCGGCATTTCACCTGTGAGCACTAGTCCGGAGTCTGGATGTAGATATACTCTGAAACACTGTTGGTAGCGAAGCAGAAAACTCTATAGAAAACGCACTTGCACTGGCAATACACTAACTTTTACAATGCAGTACCCTTACAGTACAAAAGGAACTTAGTCCGCACTTTTTCTTTCGGATGCGCAGCATTTGCACACCGGATACCGTTACCGAGGAACTGCAGAGGATCAGCGACGCCCTAAGATCAAATGAGTATCCGAACAAATTCATTGTCAAACATCATAGAAGACCACAGAGGATGAGCGTACTCAAGAGGGGACTTTATGGGCACTTAGCTTCCAAGTGCGACATTGCGGCTTATACCCAGAGCAAACGCTTGAAAGGCACGGTTGAGAAGATGTATATCGCGTCTCGCCTGTGCACAATATACCATAGCAAGCATTTACTCACAAAACCTTTGAATAATAGATTGCCTACGTTGACTCAATCAATGTCTGATTCTCAATACTCGTTCTCTTGTGCGTCCAATTATGCGGCGCCCATCTCATAGGATTTCCAAGGTCATACAGAAGTGGTTTTACAGAGGTACATTGAGGTCTTCTAGTAGCTCTGTTATGTCGCTACTCCTCGAATACGATCACGCAGGCAGTGAAAACTATTTCAGAGGTATCTAATCCATTCCCGAGGTAATCTCGCACGGATTCCGTAAACATCTCCTACCTATACTAAAGGCTAGCTAGGAAGTTGCATACTACGGATAAACCTGCATTAGCGCCTTAGATGTCTGGAAGTATTGGACCAGCCACGTGACAGGGCAACGCTTTGAAATGAGCGCACCACACCACCCGAATATTGAAAACAATGCCTGCTAGTCTGCCGTTAGGGTAACCACCACGGAAACATTTACCACACAAGCGACAAAAACACATAAGTAATGTGAAAATATCAACGCATTTCTACTCAGTCACGTGACGGCACCTCGTTGACCGAAAGCACTGGAACGATGGATTACGTGTGCGAACCACCTACTGTCCCAACGGATCTGATGTCATTTGACAACGACGGGATTTTTCGAATTCTCCGGAAACCCTGATTTCATCTTGTACCATACATAACACCTGGATCCGGAATAGAATGGAAAAACGGAAAGTCGATGCGATGCAATGGAGCGCTCGTGTTTGAGTGCGTACGTCTATGCGAACGAAGGGATGTGTATCGCAGTTCCAGCTGACTATGTTGCCATGTCCGGTTTTCTGCCGTCGTCGCTGCCATCTATGTCGACGTTGTCTTGTTGCTGCTGCGGCTGCGGCTGCGGCTGCGCCTGTCACTGTCGTCGCGCATGTTTACCCATAATGATAAGCCGCGTAAACATACACGGACACATGCGTCGAATGTGGCGGTCATCGGAGCGCAAGCAGGTACGGCACAAATCTGACCACCGACCCGAGATAGTGATACTCACTCGCTGGGACAGCAATCCGGAAGAGTGAACACTGGCCGGCCCTTTTGTCCCACCGGCACTACCATCACCATCACCACGATCAGAGCGATGAGAAAACTATCGCCATCAGCACTGGCAGACAGGCATAACACACACACACACACACTGCGTGCATGTAAAAGCAATAAAAACGTCTTGTTGGAATATCTAATTTCAGTTAACGGTGTGGAAGAAATTTACCGATTTCGAAACAGTGAACTTGTAGGATAGACATTGGAACTATGAGAACGAACATACTACTTAGGATATGTTGATTATACTTACTATAGTGAGTTGAAATAGGTTCCTTCTGTAGTGCCAACAATTTAGGGTCCATTCTGCGGTAGTCCGTGACACAGCTAGTGACTTGAGCACTGTTCCCACGTAAAGCAGCTGCCTGTGAAGATGCGCAAACCACTTCTTGGTTATCAGTTGACCCTTCCTCTTCCTCTTCTCCATCTCCATCCACTCCATTACATCCGGAAAATTGATCGCAATCGATACGGTAGCCAGGAAGGGCCTTAGGAACCGAATGGGTAGCCATGGGCCAGAACTGACCAGTACTTGTAGAGGCTTGACCAGTTCGCTGCATACCGGAGTCCGATGTTCTACTGTGGTGCACACCAGTGGTATGCGATGCGTTTTGACGGTGCGCATGGCACCATGGGCGATGAGATGGAAGAGCATTCCAGTTCACGGACTCTAAAGCAGAACTCGTACCTCCGTTCTGGTTACCACATGTGGTCACGAGGTCCGAAGTGAACCAGGGGCCGCCGGCTGGAACAGACATGCTAGTGTTTTGCGCTTTGTTCGTAGGGTAGACTGTAGCATCTTCGAGCCCATTGGCCAAAGCGTTCATTGGGGGCACCGTATTCTCGGAAATCGTGGGAACGGTGCCTGTTGCACGTGCTTGGATCCCAGGGGGAGACAGCAATGAGGATGTTGAGGGAGGACTGAGAAGCGCTCCAGAACTGTACTGATTCTCATCTAAAAGGCACGCCGCAATCAGGTCAAAGTCAAACGAGACGTCAAGTACATTCATCTGACTCGCCTCAGAAGGAGGACCATCAGAGGTGGGATTCAGAATGGATTCGGACTGGTGTTCAGACAGAAGATTGAGTGGTGCGTGTGATTGCAACATTTGGAACGAAGACATGAGGGTGCTGCAGAAAGACGATTCATGGAAACGCTCAGCATTTACCGATACCGATAATAATTTCCAACGATAATAAAGTAACTGAAGATAGAAAAATGGACAAAGGGCGACTGTGATGTACTGCACATTTCGGAGACACAAAGGACTCTCCGGATGGAGCTAGGGGACCGCATACAAAAGTGTAGAATCTGTCGGATATGTCCCCATCCGAAAAGATGACATGCAATAAATTGATTCGGTCGGTTTCATCATGGTCGTCTCACCACCCGGAACTCTAGATGCGTCATTTAAACTGGTAATCTGTTGAATTACAGTATACCGGTTGACTGGGGCTAGACAAATGTCTTTTGGAGGAAGGCCCTGGTGCAATTTCTTACGTTGGTTGCCAAGCCCTAGCTTATATACGCTGGCTGGACACCATGCCTCACGATTTCGTGATCCATGACGACTCAAATGGTAATTCTCTAAACAGGAGTGAAGTAGGTTGTATAGAGGTCACTTTCAAGTAGGCGATTTTCGATGCAATAAATTGTGGGTCCCTCAGAGTAGCTTCTAAACCAGCTATCCTCGTGAGAGTTCGGACGAGCAATAAAAGGCTGATTCGTTTTATCGGGACTCGTCTGTAGCGCACATCCTCAGACTCCATGGTGTGACACAAAAACATTATTTTTCATTTTCACTTAACCTTATCGGCGTTTGCGTGGTGACCTAATCATGGTTTACCAAATATTAAACAACACTAATCACCTCTGCCATCACCTATTGAAGCTGAGTCACAACAGCTAACTGAGAGATCATCGTCTCAAATTAGCAGAACAATACAGTCGGTTGGAGTGTCGAAGAAACTTCTCGCTGCGTGTTTGCCACACCTGGAATACCCTCACAAAAGCTGTTATTTCAGCCCCCACGTTAGTTGTGTTCAAAGCACGTGTCGACAGTGCACTGGCCACACTACACCATATCACGTAATCCAAACGACCCATACAAACAGCAGAAAAAGAAAAACAAACCAGCGCACTTCTATTTTTGCCCAGAAGCCACAGACGATAAACTTGGATAGTACCTAAAACGGGCGGGAACGCTGTAATCGTCAAGTTTTCAAGTTACAGTTGCTCACTATTTCCTATTGCCATTTTCGCCATTATTTTGCTCACCCCTAACCGATCATCCGGCGGCGCATAACAAGCTGCGGCTTTTTTATCTGCAATATCCCATTGAGCATTGACCTCCCACCGCCAGTGGCTTAATCTACTGGACCATGGGTGAGGTTAGCAGGCCGTCATAGCTAGCAAGCTAACTGTGATATAACGTGATACATCTCCATTGCTATGCAAGTCATGAAAACTGCGAAGGGCAGGGTTGTTCCTTAACGAAACGACCTCACGCGTATCTTGATTACTTGTGAATAAGGGGATTCTTGATGGGATTAATTGTGGCTTCCTATGCATAACTTCCAGATTAGAGAGCCTCCCACTTCGGCTCATTTTCCTTATACTCCACCGAGCTCCGCTTGTCACAAAGATGGTAAACACCTGGACGGCTTGGTTGAGATACTTGGTGCAGGAAGTAATTACGACCTACACACTCAATCTGATGTAACGGCGTAGTGGTAAACACGGTTGCTGACATTGGTTTACCTCCTGTCTCGGTCATATTTACTTGAAGAACACGAACAAGCTCTAAACCAGTCGCGGAATGTAGGTTTTTCAGCGGACTAGATATTATGTCTGCTTAACTCGCTAGCCGCTTCGTCGTTCTCGAGGATTCAATATACGTATGCAGTTTTCTTTCTTAATCACAGTCCGTGCAAACTAATGGCTCAATCACTACCATGCAACAGCAAGATCTACGGCCAGCTGGTTGATAAACTGTTGTCCTCAAAATGGTCTAATCATTGAAGATAGCCGTATCTCAATTGCCGCAGCAGCAACAGCGTCAGAGGCCTAATAGCCGGTCGACCATACAAGCTAGTAAGGTTATGCTTTCGACTGCTTGCTAACTGGTCACCTCAGACCATGTTGTTTACTATTGCCACGCCTATTAGGAAAAATCTCAAACTTGGTCGCTGGTGTGTGTCACATTTCCGGATACGAGACGCTGGAGTAGACGAACCAATCAGATTTGATGTAGGTCAGCGGAATATGGTATCCATACCTGCTTTTCCATATTTTGGATTCACAACCCCCCATCCGACGAGTACGAAGTCCTTCGTCTATTTCTGCTTAATAAACTGAATCACCTATCGTCCACGTTTATTACACCCTGTGCTAGTTATGATAAGGGGAATTGATAACCGCTGAGCACTATGTGCATGGCAACCGTGCAGTCATGCAAAATAACTTAGCACATTACTGGTTTGAGTCCCACATTCAATCTGAGATACAGTTTAGACGAACAGTGTGGCCTGGCATTTTTGCACTGTGCTACAGTTTAACAAGACAAGGGTGTACCAACAGAGATGCCGTTGATTTGCTGTATCGCATACTTACTATCTCCCACAGGACTTCTTTACAGCAGAACTCTGGAAAAACACATCAAGTTGGCGCATACCGAACCGGAAACAATTATCATCCGTCGCTGTACCCATGGACCAGAGAGCAGGTTAACTGTAGATGATGCAGGATCGCAATAAATGAGGCTGGGCTTATCGAGAAGGGGATTTTTTTCTTCGGTCCCATCGAGCAGTATTCTTGAAGGTTAAAATGCGGTTGCCTGTGCGAAGAAATTCGGAGTTAGGCACCAATTCGGTATAACTCCATGATATTCGCCTGCATCTATTGCAACACCTCAAAAGGTGCCAACGTTTTGAGAGAAATTGGAGCTAAACGAGGCATAAACGGTGAAAAAAGGTTTATGGAATATCCCAGAATAGTCATTGGGGGTAACAGTCAAGGATCGTGCAACCACGTCTTGAGGGACCGCGACTTCACAATCCCCAAGTTGGGAAGGTAGTGGACACCAAACTGGATCCAGCTTTCCTACAAGTTTCCTCGTTCCTTCACACTGTGTCTGCAGCTGACCCCATTGCTCCTCCAGCAAACGAAGTGAAGGCCCCACAGACATTACACGCCGAAGCCGGTGATTAACAGTTAATTGGGTAACAGTTGCCATTAAACATGGTGCAGCATAAGGTCACAAACATACCTGTGTCATAAGACCCGATGCTCTCTAAGCGGCCACCGAGTTTACTTTACATGATGCACACTATGACGTTCCTAACGTTTATTCAGTATGTTGTGAACGTAGCCCTACATCACCTTACACATGTTCCACAGTCCATCTGAGGTTCTGTCGTGGAATACCACGGACTACTGAATTATCTCTCGTTTACTGTGTCCTTCAACTACGAATCCTCGTGGGTTACACAGAAGTCTGGCGTACCAAGACACTCCGCTTCGTGTGCTCTCAATCGGCGAACATCCAGACGACCTGAAAAAGGCTATCGCTGTCACAGTATCTCAGGGCTTCCATAGCCTTCATCGACAAGAAATATCACTTTCGACTAGTTGTCCTGCAAGCGTTGGTTATGGTTTAACAAAGAGGTCACCGAAATTGACGAAGACGATTACAGACCACCTACTGTAGCCAAACACGTTGTTCTGCTCGTCCCAGATATGTGATATGCTAGATATTTGACCTCTCGACCAGTATGTACTGTGACTAGTCGAAGGTAAATCGAAACGCATCAGACATTCCGAGTTCAATCGCTCAGGTTTCACAGCAGTTAATTAAAAACGGAATGGTGCATCAAGTCAAGTTACAGAATAGTCTACTTCTTTCCGCATGTTTTGCATAACGCAAACTAATTCATAGTTTGGCACGCACAATTATCCGGAGAAATAAAAGGACAGTAAGTAGGAGAGGCAGTCTGGATAACATGTTTTGTTGAACATGTTGGCTGTAATTAATCTCGAGCCTGTGCATTTCACTTCCTATGTGCACCACCTCCAAGGTCTATAGTCAGCCGCACACGAGTCACGCGTGCTTTGTGTGCACGTACAGTGCACGCGCGCATGCACGCACGCACGTGCGGCATGCATGCTTTTCGAAGGCTCGCGTTGCACATGTGAGATCCGCTCATCATCGCTTTGAGACCGCACCCATACAACTGACACGGTGAGTCAACCTACAATGATGGATTACGGACGAGTCACCTGTTTCCCTTTGACATTTTCATGTGATTACCAGTTGATTGGGCACGTGAACCCTGCCGAAAAGGTTCACACGGGCCAATTGCATTATCAACGCAATGGGGCGAACACAACAAGTTCATCCACTTCCGCCGTAGTAGCGTTAAAGACACGTGTCTCCTTCATGGTAAACCTCCATCCGGGTGGGGAAGGGGTGAGTCCACAGACTGACAAGCGCGAGGCGCCCCAGAATTTGTACATTTCGTGGCACAAGCGATCACGGTCATCGTGACCACCGTAAAGATTTCCTGAGTAGCCCTTGGTGTCATGGTGACAAGTATTCCCCATGGAACGCCACAGCCAGATACTAGATCAAATGAAGAAGCCAACAAGGATCCGATAGCTGTGCTTCGGAACAGGTGGAAATTGATGGCGCTTAATAAGTTGAGACTGGTTTCCTATCAGTGTGCTAGTAGGCTGTTTGTGCTGAGTTGGCGAGGCATATAGTGTGCCTTGTCGATTCAGCGGAACTCTAACGCATAACTACCGGCTGCACCGTATGGATGGAAAAAGCATGCGGGAAGTCAGTGTTGCTCCTGCATTCGGCCTCTTACTATTAGGTATTGGCGTTCGAACCCAATGAATTTTAGCAACCACTTTACCATTACCCCCTGTCGTTTATCATCGACTGTACGTCCAACTTCAACTTCAAGTCCATTGTAAGTCATTTTGATAATACTACTACTACTAATTATAATAATAATAATAGTGCGAATCCATGTAGTCTTATTCTCTTGACTTCGGCATTCAGATAGAAATTGTGCAAGTGCACTAAATTGCTTGATGTTTATTCCCAAGGAGTGCGCATCCCCGACTA